CTGGAATGTACGACTGCCCGATTTGGGAGTTCAGCCACACGGCCCGTGTAACGCGGCCCGTGTAGCAAAGTGGTTCGGCCCGTCTAGCAATTGCCATCCCTTATTCCCCTGGCGAGTCCGCGGAGCTTGCCAGCGTGCCGCTGCATGTCCGTCCATGACGTGCCCAGTGTCGTGTAGTCCTGGCGAAAGCGCTGGCGATGCATGGGTAAGATCTAGTGGAGCACGGTTCGGGCTGATTTTCCCCACAGTGGTTGTTTTAATCCCAGGAGCACGGATTTTGTTTCGTCCGATGTCCCATTGTTGTGCTCGACGGTGGGACTGAGTCATTAGTCATTTTCCTTTTCGACATGCTGCTGTGTTCGATTTGGGCTGGGTGGCTGCCAGTGTCTTGGCCCCACCGCACCATGACAAGGTGTCAGACAATTGGCTCCACAGGGATCACAGCTTGCCGCACAGAGGAGAACCACAGGCCGGATCAACATCCAGTTGCTCATCTATAATAGATTGTCAGACGATTGGGTCCACTGGGTCCATCTTTGGCATCAGTCAATTGATGAGAATTATCTTAAGGAGCCAAAGCTCCCCTGAAGCTGCACGGTTCCCGTGCAGCTCTTATACACAAAAGAGATCTGTGCCGGTTTAGGCAGTGGCGGCTGCCTAGCAGGCAGCCGTAGCTGCAGTGGGCTGACCCCACTGTACGGCGGTTACAGGGCTTGTGGCTACCTTCTGTACGACACACCCCCCAGTGTTGAGTGATCAGGTCAACTCTGCTTAGAGCGTCACAGCCAACGGTAGCCTCGCCGTCATGCCATGCTCTCGCACCATCCTCCAATAGTACCTGCCTCTTGATGTCGACCAGATTCAGCATCGACCGGAAGTGTTCGAACTTCGATCGCGGCAGAGCTTTCGTAAGGCCGTCGGCTGGCATTTGATCAGTCTTCAAATATTCCACCAGGAACCTACCCTTCTTGAATTCCTGCTTTAGCCACATGTTTTGAACATCGACGTGTCGCAACTTGGTTGTAATCCTATGGTTCTCTCTTCCACCACGAGCCGGATTGTCTGTAGGTTGTCGCAGTATATCTTCAGGAGGACCAAGGTCTACGGCGATGTCTCTAAGGAGTCGGTCTAGAGCGTAGCTCTCCTTAAGGCCTAGGAGTTCCGCTTCGGTTGTCGAAGTCGTGACTGTGTCCTGCAAGCCTGCTTTCCACACGACGGGTCCGTTGAACAGCATCATCACATATCCTTGTGACGATCTGCGGGTTTCGATGTCGTCGGCAAATGATGCGTCGCTTGCAATCACGAGTGCCTGCCCTCTATGCATCCCATCATAGACAACGGCTAGATATCGCGTTGTGTACAGGTAAAGGATGCATTGGTTGGCCGCTGCGAGGTGCTCAGGGGACGGGTTTGTCAAGAATCTCGCGAGCTGGGCCGGTGCCCGCGCTATGTCCGGTCTAGTCATGACTGCGCAGGAACTGTCGGGTTCTATTTTCATTCGGGCCTTCAATTGGCCTGCGGTCCTCCTCGGCCCCGTCTCCTTCGCCAGTCATGCTTCCACCACCGATCACCCTCAGTCATATCTTGTGTGCCGCCGAAGATCAGATCTGAGAGAGACTCATCCACCCCATCGAGCCCCTCCAGGTTGGATTCGTCGCAGCTCAACGCCGGCAGAGAATCCGCAAAGTCGTCTTGTATTTTGACGTGGATCTCTTGTTTGATCTCATCCTTCTCAACCGCAAATCCATCCTTAGTACGCTTTTCTTCTTTGACTCGCTTGTTCTGCCAACCGGACGGGCTCTCGTTCTCCTCTTTGATCTTTCGCTTCCTCTT